AATCAATGACAATAATCAATGATAATAATTTCAAGAAAATAAAATTAATAATCAATGGAGACGAAGATAAAAATTGCAACTTTATAATAATAATATGAAACAAAAAATTTGAAAGGTTGAAAATGATCGTGACGATAAACAAAAATATGATCACGATCATAAAGATTGTAACTTCATGATAACAATCAAAATATCACAATCATAATCATTAATATATATATAAAGTGCAAAACGAGTATAAGAGAAGATTAATTTTAAGAAAATAAAAAAAATGGTAATAATTTGCAAAGTGTACAGATTTTAAAGTGAAACTCTTAGAATATATTGTTTGTGTAAACTTATTTTGTTTATCACTCATGCATACTAATATGTGTGTATATAACGATGTTATTAATTTTGAAAAATAATATTTTTTGACACTTGAAAAGTATTCTCAAATATTTAGGACTCAAGTCATATTAATACAGTGTTTTCTTCCATAAAAATTAAAATTTAACTTTTTTACTACAGTGTTTTTCTCTCACACACGCAACTCAAGTCATAATTGAGTTGTGCAAATAAACATAATTTCTTATTTCTCGGCTAAACTAACTGTGACATCCGTTGGCTACTACGAGAAGGGAATTATAGGAGGGGCATCCAACAACCATGATCAATGGATACTCTACATCCCAATTATAGGGTTCTTCTCCAATCAATGTGTTTGATGTATAAATATAGTATTAATTATGAGTGATAACTGGGATTCATATTTCGAATAGAATGTGAAGGCAGAATATGAAAGTGTCAAGAAGGAATTTAATGTTACGGATCCGGAAAGGGTTATTTGCCGAGAAGATGCCACTTACATTTGGCTAGACTGAGGGCAACATACATATATTTAATTAAATTTGGCTGTGGATTTTTGTAGCTTGGGACTTTCGAAACCGGATCTACAACACAAGCAACGAAATTCCACAAGAGAGCACACACGTCGTTTCCAAACAGATTTAAGGAACTTTCATATTATTGATATATATATATATATATATATATAAATTAGAAATCACTTTCGCAATATCCTTTAATTTGACCAACGTCATAAAAAAAATAAGACGACTTTCGCAGTATTCGATGCCACGTATTTTGTCTGTGCACCGGCCAATTATAGCATATCGTCATGTTGTAGCTTTTTTCTATTTCTTTCTTTCATTTGTTTGTTTGTTTATTTATTTATTTGTTTGCTAGAAAGTCATGCAGTAACTTATTGTTATATAAAGAATTAGTCGGCTAATAATGTCTTTTATTAATGATATGTTTAGCAGGAATAAAAAAAAAATGATAGAAAAGAGAAAAGAAAGAGAAGTAAAATACATTTTTTTAAGTTATTTGGTAGAAGAGAAAAAAAAGTAAAAGAAAAATGTTAAATTTAAGACATTATATAATAATGTCTTAATATAAATAAAAATATGATGAATGGTGAATATTCAATTTAAATTGTTATTTTACATCTCATTTTTTTGTCAAACTTTTTTTTTTTCTCTTTTATTCCTAAAGTTGAAAGGATTAAAAATTAATAGGCCTTATGAATTTTCATTTTCTTTCCTCATCGGTAAATGGGACAAGAGCATTATTTGGGGATACAAATATATGTATATGTATATTTAGTATTATATGGTGTAGACTAATTATACGTACGACATGCAAACGGGCTAGTTGTGTAAGGCAGTAGCGGAGTCAGGAATTTGTTTTAGGAGGGGTGTAAATTAAAAATGTAAAAAATAAATCAACTCTTAATATTTTTAGATGAGCAGTATATAGACTATTGAACATACTTGAATAATAAAGATTTTAACAAGTAAATTAGATAAGAAAAACTATTTAGTAGGTACATAATACTTATGAGAAAATAGTAGCTATGAGTGTCAGAAGGGAAAAAAAAGATCTTTAAGTTTGTAGGGCACATTTGAATAAATATATATTACTTCAACAAGAGCAAATTAGAGAAAATGTATGTGTGAGAAAGTCGTAATTGAGAGGATTGTTTGAAAAAAAAAATTCTTAATTAGGGACACGTTTTGAGAAAAAATATATGAATGGATCGTTTTTTTATGTAGCTTAAATTATACCAAAAAATATTTTAGAAGGGACCAATTTGAAAGAAAAATTGTTTTCTTAAGAATAAATTAGAGAAAAAAATCAATTAGGTGCAATTTTAAATATAAGATTTAATAGGAAAAGATCAAAGGAACAATATAAGGAAAAAAAATGATTTGAAATTGAATTTTTTGAGGATATATTTGAAATTTTTATTAATAAGAAGGGTATATATGAAATAATTTTGAGAAAACATATAGTAAAATTTAAATATTAACCCCGGGCCTCACCTCCCTCAGCCACAGGTGTAAGGCTTATATAAAAAATTGAGTAAGGACGGATCTCAATGCATGTGTGATAGCTGGAGTATATATTACATATTACGTCTTATAAAAAGTCAGGGCATCAATATTTAAGGTTCAAAATCAAACGGGCTAGTTGAGTAAGGCTTATATAAACCTACGAAAACTTTAATACGTACGGGTTTTAATGTGTGATAGCTGGACTATATACATCTAAAATTGAGCCGATCATCAATTTAACAATTATAAGCCTCAAAATCTCCACCATCCACCTCATGTCTTTGACATGGCACTAGACATTGACTAGCGAAGATCTAACTACTCAACAAGCAAATATATATATATATATATATATGTGTGTGTATGTGTATATATAAATATTGAATTTGGAGGGGAGATTTCAACTCTACGCTAAGAATTACTGCCACGTACCCACAAGAATATCGCATCAAATGTGTTTTTTATTACCAGGTACAACATCACATGATGATGAGGATGGCGTTATAAAGCTACCTCCCACAACAAACAACAAATTAACACACTACGAATCGGATAAAAGCATTGACAATCAATGAAAAAGAAAGCACATATGATCTCCTTTGCGAAATTAGTTAAGTATAATAACCTCTAATATTAGCTGCCGTGTTTATAATGATGATAGCTCCGTACGTGCTCTTGTAGTTATCTGGAAGCAAGTGTATTCCGGAGTCATATCCCACTACGAATCGTAATTTTGAAGTGGTCAAAATATTGCACTAAACAACATTGTTTTATTTTATATACATGGATCCCCTTAATTATGACTACTTATGTATCTATAAACATGTCTACCACATTTAATTAAAAAATCAATTAAACAAGATATCTGAAAATAAAAACGTTGGTACATAACTGTAGTCGTGTTCCTTGAGGAATAGGATATACTTGAACAGTAAAAAGAGACGGTGTTTTAATCATATACAATAGCCCTTCTCCACCTACAATTTATGTATATCCTAGCATGGGTCCCTTTTTTTGTTGTATATGCCCATACATATGCCAAACATATCCAAATCAAAAATATCTAGATCGTATGACAAAAATAAAAAGAAAATGAAACAATCTTTTATTTATTTATTTATTTTAAAAAAATGGCATACAGAAATTGAATTATTCAAGATTTTTAACGATGAGGCAAGTGTAGAATTTTTACTAGTCTAATAAGTTTGCAACCACTCTATTGATTCAAACAGATTTGACTCATTAAAGAATCGATAACTATTAATATAATCCCCTCTTTTTAGGATTTAAGCCCTTGTCGGTCACATTTTCGATCGGTCGGGGTCTGATATCATTTATAGCAATTATTACCTATATATATATATATATTTATATATATATTTGGTATGATATTATTTGTTTTGCTTAAACGTGCATAGTTCTACGGTTTTACCCTAAAGCCTCATCCTGCTGCATAGGGCGCAGCCTGTTACTCGATTGATGCTTTTTACGAGTAAATTAGAAAATTTGCACTCCTTAACTCACTTTTTAATTTTGGCACCATCCTCTTAAATTAATAAAAAATATCATTAGTTATGAAATTAAATATAGTTGTATCATTCTTAAAATTATGCCATCCACTAGAATTCCTTACTTTTGCTCCACTTATCGCATATCTAATTAGTTTGGATATATTACAACAGTATCTTTGAATTTGGATTCTTAGGGTACGACTTACTTTATGGAGAAAAGTAGGGGAATGTGTCTCCCTTAATTTGGACATTCTTTTGATTTTTCTGTGTTCGACTCAAATGGTCAACAAGGTAAGATGAAAATTTTTAATATCTGTTACTCCAAGTGATTGTAAGTCGTTCATAAAAATTAAAATATGTAAAATACTAAACAATTTCCAATTGAGAACTTCTGTGGTGGCGCCGGAAAAAAAATTCCCGACTCTGTGTCACTGTGTCAGAAATACGATAATTTATAAATTTTACACTAAAATTTACAAATTTTGAATGTTAAAGTTACGTAAAATTACAATAAACTTGTGAATTTTAAAAGAATATGATGACTTGTAAATTTTACCTCAAAATTTATAAATTTTAAACGTTAAAATTATAAAAATTACGATAAATTTGTGCACCCACACAGTATTGTGAAGGCACCATAGACAGACGTTAAGAGGTCCATTTATGGAATTTCATTTTCCAAAAATGGTCGCTCCAATAATAGAAAAAATCATTTTAGGAAGATCCTGTTGGAAAGAAAAGAAAACTTTTGTGCTCCACCAAAACCAAACTCTTTCTTTCTTTTCCTTTCTTTTCTTTTTTCTTTTTCCTAAAAAAAAAAGACAGAAAGATAACAATTATTGGTGCGTAACAGTGCAAGACATTTTGATCTTGCCCAAAATAAATAAATAAATAAAAACGAAAACCCTCGTGATTAGTTTCAAAAAAAAAACCCCCCTTGTAATTACAGCCGTTTAATGTAGGTACATGATCTAACGGTTGAGAATCTGAGTCCTTTTTTGTGATCAGTTCAACATCCTAAATTTCATCGCAACTAAAAAAGTGTCCAACAAGTTGTATTTGTACTTGTAATATTCATCATCTCTCTCAAAAAAAAAAAAAAAACCCTTCCCTCGTCACACCCTCCTTACAATGTTAAAAACCCACTTTCTCTCTCTACATCCCTGTCCCTGTCTCTATCTCTCTCCTATATATATATATATATATTTGTGTGTGTGCGCATGTATATGTGTATATATATGGAAATTAATGTGAGAATGCGCTAAAAGGGTGGAAAAGGGGATCAAAAGGAGGGTGAATGGCGAAAATGAAAAGCTCAACATCCACTACCGCAAGAACTAGTCTAGCTTTGAAAGCTTATTATGATATTTACATGAGTTTGGTGGTGGTGGTGTTTGTGGTTGCGGCGGCGGTTCTCGGAACGACGTCGTCGGCGAGGGCGGAGAGGCAGAGCAACGCCTACGCGACGATGATGTACATGGGGACACCCAGGGACTACGAGTTTTACGTGGCGACACGTGTCATGCTGAGATCGCTCGCCAGCCTCCACGCGGACGCCGATCTCGTCGTTATTGCCTCTCTCGATGTCCCTCTCCGCTGGATTCATGCTCTGTAAGTCCCGTTCCCTCCGATGCATTTCCCTTTTCTTTTTCTTTCCTCTTTTGTTTAATTTCAAATTAATTTTTTCTAGTATTGCAAATGGCGTTTTTGGGCCTTCGAAAACGTAAAAGGTTTGACACTCGCGTCCTCCGTCGTAAATCGTACGTTATTTTATGAAGCATTAATTTGGTTTTTAATTTGCTTGCTAGCAAAGCGTTAATTGATAAGATCATTACTGTCTTTATTCAGCTAATTTACTTAATTATATGCACGTTTATCTATAAAGGTATCACTCTCGTATACGTATGTGTTGCTATATGGACCAGACAGCTACTACATATCTTTATTCAGCTTTAGTTTTAGGCGACGTACGTCTAATTATATACATATGTGGACCACTTTTTCTGATCCTTATATAATATTTTTATCAATTAGTCTCCTGGAGCAGCTGGTGAATTGAAAGTTTCTTTGTTAAAGACATTACCATTAATTGGTGGCTTCCCATTTCTGAATTATAGATTTTGAATGACGCGCCCATTGAAACGTTAATATCGATGAGCCGAGCTATATACATACATATATATATATGTAGATCATAATTAGGATCCGTTTGGTTCCTAGATTTACTTCCTGATTTAAATTATGATTCGTGGTTCGTTACAGTATTTTTTTTCATCAAAAATACACGTAAATCGAAAATAGCTTAAATCACATGATTTGAATCTATGAACCAAACGGACCCTCAGTTGTTGTTGTCTTTTGTGTTGTGAGTTGTAAATTAATCATTCATTCATATACATTCTTTCCAGCGTGTGTCAAATACATCTTTTATTTTCTATCACAGAGGTCAGAAGTTGATTATTATCAGATTCACTTGTTTGAGAATTACAAACTAAAGTGCAAAATCATAAGAAACCATGACTTTTAACGCTAATTTTTTCCTTTTCTTTTTATAAAAATTAGTGCTTGAAATTTGAATTAGTTCACGCTCCTTAACTTGTCCAGTTGTCGACCTTGAGGTGCTATATAGCTAGATTATGTTTGTCGATGTCCAATTTCATGCCTTTTTTTTTTTTTTTTTCCAGATACCTCCGACGTAACGTCGTCAGGACCGGGCCAGTGTATATCTGGACCCAGTGCTGCTCTAATTAGTTAGACAATATAGTGGATTTAAATTTTTAATTGGAGTTGAGATGTGATATTTTTTAAGAATTTTTAAGTATAATAAAAAAATTAAATTTAATATTTTTTGAGAGTTTTTAATTATAGAAACTTAAAATTAAAAATTTAAATCTGTGAAATAAACGAGACATATATATTATTAGGCACTACTTATACGGCAGAAAATTAAAAACTATATGGAATATTCAGAATTGATTTTCTATCACTACTCATTTTGATTAAAGTTTAAACTTGGCTACGAAATACAGAACTATTATTCATTCCGTGGCAGGCTCACACTTTTGATATAACCATAAATAGGCTCCCTTCTGTCCTTACTGCAGGCCCGTCAATGTCGTCAACTGAATAATCATTTTATAACTTTTCTACGGGACGAGCCCCACCCACGCACAGGCGCTTTTTCCTTTGTTACATCAACACTTTTCTTTTTTTTCTTTTTTTTTTGTCAGTCATGTACGGGTCTTGAATTTACGTGACTATTGATATTATTTTACTGTATAATGTGGATCTGCAGGGAGCAGGAAGATGGAGCGAAGGTGGTAAGAGTGGAAAATCTGAATAATCCATACAAGAATCAGGACAATTTTGATTGGAGATTTATGCTTAGTATGAACAAGATTTATGCGTGGAGCCTTGTGGAATACGACAGAGTCGTCATGCTCGATTCTGACAACCTTTTCCTTCAAAACACCGATGAGTTGTTCCACTGTGGACAATTCTGCGCAGTCTTCATTAATCCTTGCATTTTCCATACTGGCCTCTTTGTCTTGCAGGTAACACCAGAATTATACATTCACACACGCATATATATATATTGTGACGCGTACGTGGTCCAATTTTTTTACTATATAACTTAAATAACCTCAAGTATTAATTAAAAACTAGTTCAGTTAACTGATTCGAGTTTTTAATTTGAATTAAGATGTGATTTTATGTTAGAGTTTTTTACTGTAACAAAAAAGTTAGATGTGACTGTTTCTGAGAGCTTTTTACTGTAATAAAACTCGAATTCTAAACTCGAATCGGTAAAATAAACGGGATCTATTTCATTAAATGAAATAAAACATACGTGTCAAACAGAGATACAGTTAACGATATCCAACAAAGTACGTACCTGTGTGTTCATTATAGTACAGGTGTAGTAACAATGTAGTCATAATAGTAGTGATATCCTAGCTAGGGGCCAAATTGATGGCTACGACTTATATTTGACTTAAAAGAGATCATTTCATTTAACAAAAGAAGGAATGTACAGAATTTGTTAATAATGGACTTTAATAAATTTGAATGATTGGTGCAGCCATCAATGAAGGTGTTCAAAGACATGGTTGAGGAGTTAGGAAAAGGGAGAGAGAATCCGGACGGTGCAGATCAGGGATTCATAGGCAGCTACTTTCCAGACTTAATTGATCAACCAATGTTCCATCCAAATGCCACCATTAAGCAGCTTAATGGAACCTACAGACTTCCTCTTGGCTACCAAATGGATGCTTCTTATTATTGTCAGTACTAGATAGTACACAACACTAGTATATTTCTATTTGTTTTATGGTTCTTAATTCTTATGGTAATTAACCATTTCTTTCTTATATAAACATATATATATTTTCAGATCTTAAACTAAGGTGGAGTGTACCTTGTGGACCAAACAGCGTGATTACATTCCCAGGCGCACCCTGGTTGAAGCCCTGGTATTGGTGGTCATGGCCTGTTCTACCTTTAGGCATTTCTTGGCATGAACGACGTCGTCAAACTCTTGGGTAAGACTAACATCCAATATAATAAAAGTCAATACACTTTCTTTTATGCAAAAAAATAAAAAAAAAATAAAAAAAAAATTTAATACACTTTCCATTTCAAAACTAATTCTCAGACTGTCAAAGTACTTCTAAAACACTTTCAAAATTTCCCCTGTTTTTCCATTTCCAAACTAAACTATGTATTGTATATTACTATCGTAATTAGGAAAAAAAAATAGTAACTATAAATAGCAGGCTATCATATTTGGTCTTGTAATTGATTAGATTTAAAACTTGTCATTTCAACTACCAATGATGCATAACATTCAAACATTGTTGATGTGCCATTGTAAATACGTAATTCTTGTACCATAGCAACTTTGGCCATGTATGTGTAGAGAAACATATATTTCTGACACATAATTGGCAGGTATGACGCAGAGATGGTAGCGGTAATGGTCCAAACGGTGATGTATGTGGGACTCATAGCAACAATGCGTCTAGCGCGGCCCAACTTATCAAAACTATGCTATCGGCGCACAGATAAGAGCATTAACATTATACAAACCTCCCTCAAATTACTAGCTTTATGGTCCATTGTTGCAGCTTACGTAGTGCCTTTCTTCATCGTTCCTTGCACGCTTCATCCATTATTAGGCTGGAGTCTCTACTTGCTCGGTTCATTTGCTCTTTCCTTTGTATCCGTCAACGCCTTTTTGCTACCAATGCTTCCAGTTTTGACTCCTTGGGTTGGGATATTAGGGGCACTTTTGGTGATGGCATTTCCTTGGTATCCAGACGGCATTGTTAGAGCTGTTGCAGTGTTTGGCTATGCATTTTTCTGTGCACCATTTATATGGGTGTCTGTTGTAAAACTCATGAATTGTCTTCATGTTTCACTTGAAAGGGAATCTCTTTTCCCAAGGCTGAGTGAGTCCTCTCCACCTTCTTCACAGTTTAACAAGCTATATTAAGGCCCAAAACCATGACACTGTATTATTGATATATATATATATATATACATTTTTTTCCTTCTTTATTTTAACTTGAGGAACAGGGGATTTATCCGAACTCTAAATTTTAACATTATGGATGAGCCGGAATGAATGAAATTGCCAAAATTAGTCTAAACCGGTGACCATAGACGTTACTGTGATGTATTGAGGCCTTCACAAAGTGATCCCTGGCTCGACCTAATTAAAGAGGATATGATTGTTTGCTCCAAATAATTTTGGAATTGCTATTTGGTGAGGTGTTAATAAGGAGATCGGGAATTGGTTACTCATGAATATCATATGTACTTGTTATCTATAATGGTACAATTAAGGAGAGAAGCTCCCTTGAAATTGCAGATATCCCCACAAGGTCAAACAGTTGCTGGTATTTACTTGACTTTCATTGGTTTTCTCGTGTTTGGTGTAGCTTTAATACTGTGAGTGAGTGAGTGGGGATGGATATTGGGCACAACTCATTTCACTTTTACTTATAGGCATTCATTGATCATTAGAAATATCTGCATATTCCATAATTCATTTGAATTATACCAATGATTGAAACATATTAGTTAAGTTTCCCTGTAAAAGTTTGGGCCATAGGACAGCCTTCCTTCTTTTAGGGCCGGCCCAGTCTAAATATTCCCTTCGGGCCAGGGGGCTCGAGTGGACCTAAAAAGTTTCACTTCTAGTCACCAACTGGTTAAGTTTTGTGGTCTTCTTCATGTAATGCAGTGAAAGTTGGGAAATAGACAGGAAATAAGAAAAAGACGACGACATTTTCAATACCAATGAAATGTGCGGAAAGAGAGTTTTTCTTTTTCTAAAACGAACAATGGAAATCCAGAAGATTATCGCGGAAGGAAACAATGGAACTTGGTGGATAAGAAACATATGAAAAATAGAGAACGTACGTACGAAACCCGCAAACTTGAAGTTTTATTAGGTGACTGTTGAGTTAGTCCAGATTATGTTACGTGGTCATTTAATTGATGTTGTGTCATTCTAGTTTTTAGGCTTTTTTATTAAGTTTGTTTTATTTGTTCAGACGTGGCAAGTTTTTTAAGAGTAAGTGGTGCGTGTTTAGACCAAGTGGTTTAGAGTATGTTGCTATTTTATTGGTCATTTCCGTTAATGTACAACATATTTAAAGGCTCCATTGTTTAATCAATTAATAACAAGAAGAGTACTTAGATTCCTTTTTGTTTTTGTCTTCATCTATTTGTCTATCAAAGTGTATCAGTGGTATCAAAGCCGTGTTATAAAGTTTGAGTAAAAAAAAAAAAACGGGGGAGTGCGAGAGAGTAAAATAGAAGGTTAAGACCAAGAGAAACACAGGGAAGTGAGATAGAGTATATAGCCGTAGCTTTTTTTCTATTTCACCTTGTTTCTGTTTTGCAGCAGCAAAAGCAATGGCATCTGAGGCAACGTTTGTGCAACCAACCATTCCTCGTTTTGATGGCCACTATGACTTCTTGAGGTCCAAGGAGTACTGGCAAGTGGTTGATTATGGAGTTGCAGATTCAATTGAAGGTGTGGTGCTATCAAAGACGCAGAGAACAGAGTTAGAAGGACTGAAACTGAAGGATTTGAAGGCAAAGAACTACCTTTTTCAAGCTATTGATCGTTCAATTTTAGAAACCATACTCAACAAAGAAACTTCCAAGCAGATTTGGGATTCTATGAAGAGAAAATATCAAGGATTGACAAGAGCAAGAAGGCAGCAACTTCAAACACTTCGTACGGAGTTCGAAACGCTTCGCATGAAGTTGGGAGAGTCCGTTTCTGATTTTTTTCTCACGAACAATGGCAATTATCAACAAGATGTGTGTGTATGGAGAAAAGATAGAAGACGTGATTGTGATTGAGAAGATTCTTCGATTAATGATGCCAAAATTTAACTATGTTGTTTGTACAATTGAAGAATCAAATGATCTTGATGTCCTTTCGATGGATGAATTCCAGGGCTCTTTGTTGGTACATGAACAAAAAATGGCTCAACAAGAAAAAGAAGAGCAAGCATTGCAAGCCTCCACTAACAAGCAGCCTTCAACGGCAAACAGAGCAGATCAAGGGAGAGGAAGAGGCAGAAGAAATAATTATCGTGGAAACCAACAACAACACCAACACCAAGACAATCAATTTCAAGGAAGAGGAAGAGGACGAGGAGGCCACCACTCGACTACATATAAACTAAGGTCAGCAGACAAGTCCAATGTGGAGTGCTACAGATGTCATAGGTACGGCCACTACAAGTCTGAATGCCGAACTAATCTGAATAGACAACATGGAGAGATGTCTAATCTTGCAGAGAAGGAAGAAGAAGTATCTTTGTTAATGGTTTGTCATGCAAAGGAGGAAACCAACAAGAATTTGTGGTACTTAGACACAAGTTACAGCAACCATATGTGTGGAGACAAGTCTGCATTTTCTGAGTTGGATGAAACTTTCAGTGATAGTGTGAAGTTTTGTGATGATTCCAAAGTCTCTGTTATGGTAAAGGGAAAGGTAACAATCCAACTCAAAAACAACTATACTCAGACAATCTCTAATGTTCTTTTTGTTCCAGATTTAAGAACAAATTTACTAAGTGTTGGTCAGCTTCAAGAAAAGGGATTTGAAATCTCTATCAAAGGTGGAGTTTGTCGAATTCAAGATGCAAAGTTGGGCTTAATTGCTCAAGTTAATATGACGGTGAATCGTATGTTTCCACTTTATCTCCACAACATCACTCACTTATGCATCGGTGGATTGAAGACTCTACAATAGAAAAATATGGTGATTGGTCTTCCTCAAATTACAGCTCCATCTGAAGTTTGTGAAGAATGTGTTGTTAGCAAACAACACCGTAATCAATTTCTGCAAGGAAAGTCATGGAGAGCGAAAAAGGCATTGGAGCTGGTTCATTCTGATCTTTGTGGGCTAATAAATTCATCTTCCAATGGAGGTAAAAGATATTTAATCACCTTCATAGATGATTTTAGTCAAAAGACATGGGTATATTTTTTGCAGGAGAAATCAGAGGCTTTTGCAGCCTTTAAGAATTATAAAGTGCTTATTGAGAAAGAAGATGGCAGCCTAATTAAAGTTCTTCGCACTGATCATGGTGGAGAATACAATTCACATGAATTTGTAAATTTTTGTGAAATGCATGGCATCAAGAGACAACTTACGGCAGCTTACACGCCTTAACAAAATGGAGTTTGTGAGCGAAAAAATCACACTATTTTGAATATGGTACGAAGCCTTTTGACGAGGAGCGGCATTCTAAAAAATTTCTGGCCCGAAGCAGTCAACTGGAGCATTCATATTTTGAACAGAATTCCCACACTCACTGTTCAAAATATGACACCAGAAGAAGCATGGAGCGGACAGAGACCGGCGGTAGATCATTTTAGAATTTTTGGGTGTATTGCCTATGCCCATATTCCATACCAGAAGAGGACAAAGCTAGATGACAAAGGAGAAAAATGTATTTTTCTTGGTGTCGGTGATCAATCAAAAGCTTATAAGCTTTACAATCCCATCACCAAAAAAATTGTTATCAGTCGTTTTTGATGAAGAAAGGTTTTGGCCATGGAACAACAATGTTGTTTAACAACAAATACCTGCCAACTTTGATAGTGTCAACGAAGAGGAAAGGCAGCAGCCAACGGAAAATGATCAACAAATCCCACCAGATGGTCCAGCAGATGTTCCAAGCTTACCAACAGTAGCAGCAAGTAAAGAACGGCCCCAACGTGTTAGAAGAAGGCCTGCATGGATGACTGATTATAAGGTAACCAGAATTGACCAAACTGAGGACCTACTTACATATTTTGCTCTATTTTTGGATTGTGATCCTACTATTTTCGAAGAGGTTGTCAAAGAATCCAAATGGCGGACGACAATGGACGAAGAAATTGCAGCCATTGAACGGAATAACACTTGGGAGTTAACTGATCTTCCAAGAGGGCACAAAACAATTGGTGTCAAGTGGGTGTACAAGACAAAATTGAAGGAGAATGGAGAAGTTGACAAATACAAGGCGCGCTTAGTAGCTAAAGGCTATAAGCAAGAGTTTGGAGTGGATTATAGAGAAGTCTTTGCTCCTGTTGCAAGACATGATACGATCAAACTGGTGATTGCATTGGCAGCTCAACATTCATGGCCTATCTTCCAATTGGACGTGAAATCGGCATTCTTGCATGGTGACCTGCAGGAACAGGTATTTATCGAACACCTTCTAGTTATGTGAAGCTTGGAAGTGAGAATAAGGTTTATAAACTCAAAAAAGCATTATACGGGCTAAAACAAGCTCTACGCGCTTGGTATAGTCGTATATATGCTTATTTTTCTAAAGAGGAATTTAAGAAATGTCCATATGAGCATAATGTAACGCCATCTAGAATTAAACATGTTTAATTATGCTAAATTGTGGATTATTAGTGTGCCTAATTTGATTTTCATAATTAATCAAGGGACTTTAAGTTATTTTCAGTATTTATAATTTCACCCTAAAGATTTTTAGAAAACACACTTAAATTTAATACATTTTCCCTTTTTCTATTTTTCTTTTTCCTTTTCTTTTCTTTTTCTTTTCTTTTTTTTTTCTTTTCCCCTATTCCCTTCCCGTGCGCCAGCCCACTCTTTTTTTTCTTTTTTTTTTCTTTTCTTTCTTCTTCTTCTTCTCTGGTTCTTCCCGTGCACCAACCTCTCTCTCTCTCTCTATTTTCTTCCACCGCCGGCCACCTCCTTCTCCGGGCTTCCTCCCGCCGGCATTCTCTCTCTCTCCCTTGCTCTCTCTCTCTCTCTCTCCGGGTTTCTCTCTCCCTCTCTCTCTCGGCAGTTTGGCCGAGAATCACCAAAAAAAAAAATGAAAAACAGATAAATTGAGGGAGACAAAGCTTGAGCAACTGATCTGAGATAAAATCCTTTGAAACCCACTCTTCGATTCGAATTTTAAGCTTGAGAAAGTTTGATTTTGGTTAGATTTGAATAATTTTGAGTTAGAGTTCGAGTTTGAACAGTTATTATTGGAATCGAATGAAATTTGGGGGTTTTTAGTTATTGGACTTGTTTAATAGATTAAAAACTGATTTTGATGGATTTTGGAGAATATATATTAAAATTGAACTTGAATTGTAGGTTTGGCATTTTTCCTATTTATGCCGGCATGCTGCCGAAATTTCTTTAGAAACTTGTTTTTAAACTGAAATTAAATAGGAAAACCAAACCTATGAATTAGATTCTAATTTTTAAAGAACCCCCAAACTGAATTATAAAATCATTGTGAAATTTAGATTTGAGTCAAGGCACACTAATAGGAAACAATTAAACATGATTGAGCTTAATTCGTTTTAGGAATGAGAAATACTTCCTAAGATATTGCTTCTGTGATAAAGCTAGTGGAGAATGTCAAGTATTAAGGCTTTAAGGAAAGCGGAGGCTAGGAGAACTGAAGGCTAGCCTCACTTTAAATGATTTTGGCCAATGAAAATGTTTTAGAAGAAAACATGTTTAAAGAAAATGAGTTCAAAGGAATAGCATGAGAATGCTATTAAGTTTTCCAATGATTTTGGAAATGAGATTTTAAATAGTATCATTTCTTAAATGAAATATTTAAGGAATGATACAACGTATGGTGGCCACAGAGATCGGGATGTGGGAATCGCATCCTTGGGGGCAGGTCCCGAAACCCGTACAGATCCACTTCTTGTTTAGTGGAACAATGGCTCTGCACTTTTCATAGACAGACATATTTACCGCTTCTTGTTTAGTGGTATGATGAGCTGCACACTTTCATTATACAGATATTTTCTACTATAAGTATTTCCTTTTCTAAAAAGGGATGATCGGTTTCGGGTGTATATCTTCGAACCGTGAGTACCTTTATTTTAAATGCTTTATAAAACTATATCCTACTGGGCCTTTCGCTCACCTTTCTTGTTTTCAAATGTATTAAACCCCTCCAGGAGACGCGAGGAGTAGTGCGGAATAGGTAGCTACTACCGGTGACGTGGACTTGACCTGGAAAAGTGAAGAGTTATCTTTCCTCTTATCTTTTATTTCAAGGCATGTATAAAAGATTATGGATTGTAAACTTAAATATTACTAGACTGTGGTTGATGTCACACTTACTTTTGTTTATATTCATATATGCTAAACACCTGTGGGAATTCCTGACTTGATACCAGGGACGTGGTTTTAAACTGGTTTGGTTAGAAATTCCACCACCGTTCTTGAATTAAATTTCTCTTGAATGAAAGTGGCTCATTTAGAAATACCTGGATGTTTTGGATTTGAAAGAAATTGAAATATTTGCTAATCTCTCTCTCAAACAGGTTTAAGTTTCTAAACGAGCCTCCACGTCACTAACCCCGGTTTGGGGGCGTGACAAGACTTGGTATCAGAGCCTTTGGTTTAGAACCTTGGGGTTTGGAATTATGCATATATGAATGACATCAGAAAACCACTAAAACAGTCTAGCTTTCTTTTCAGATAAAAGAATGCCGCCGCGCCGTAGAAACCCTAACCCACCGGCGATGCCGAATGAGCAATTCATGGAAGCCATGTACGCCGCCTTCCAGGGGATGGCTACTAGAGCCCAAAATGAACGTCCCGCGGAGTACAGAAAACAAAACTACTTCCGTAAGTACAGGCGTAGTTCAATCCCTACATTCACTAGCGCGGGTGGACCCTAGGAACCCGAGTATTGGTTCGAATCGGTGTCTAAGCATCTAAGTACCATGGGAGTATCAGATGAGTATTGGGTGAAGTTTGCAGCTTTTAAATTTGAAGGTCCTGCAAGTGCATGGTGGAAGCATATCCGGCGAATGCATGATGTAGAGGCCAGAGGGGATGACTTGGGAACAATTCGAAGCGCTCTTTAATGAGCAATTCTTTCTCCAAAGTTATCGAGATGAAAAGGCTATGGAATTCATGGGCCTACAGCAAGGGGAAATGACAGTGAGGGAATACGAAGCTAGGTTCAATGAACTGTCCCGTTTTGCTCCCTCATTGATTGAATCGGAGCGCATGAAGTGCCTAAAGTTCGAGAAAGGTCTTAAGGGTGTGATCCGAAAATCAGTGGTAGCTTTAAGGCATCGAGTCTATAGTGACTTGGTTGTAGCAGCCATCTCTGTTGAACAAGAGCACATCGCCTTTCTCTAGGATCGAGAAGCTTCAGGAAGAACCTCAGGAGGACCCCAAAGGAGTAACCGAAAAAGCCGTGATCAGGGGCAAGGTAGTGGGGGAGTGCCTAGTGGTAGCAGTGGCTCTTCGGGAAATGGGAAAAGTTGACCCTATAGCTTCAAGTGCCACCATTGTGGGGAGCTAAGGCATATCAAAAGGAACTGTCCTATCAGGGGCCAACAGGTGAACCAAAAGACCCAGCAATTACCGCAGAATCAAAGGGGTATTGCTCCTAGTCAAGACAGACTTCCACAGTTCACGCCTTTCTATTAGCCCCAGTTGCCTGCACAGATGCCAATTCCTTCTGCACCGATCTTTCGTCCGCCGAACTACTCTTATTTCCGACCACAGGCTTCTGTGTCAGTACAGTCTACCCCACTGCAGCAACAGTATAGGCCTGGAAACCAGAGACCTAACAACAATGAGAGAGAAAAAGGAAATGTACCGGGGCAGATGCATACCATGGCCGGGGGAAGTTCTGGAGCTCATGTCGGAAACCCAGTCGTCGAGGGTATGGTACCTATGTCACATTCTTTTGCACGAGTTTTGTTCGACACTGGTGCTACGCACTCTTTTGTTTTCACTACTTTTGTGAAAATTTTGGGTTTGAAACCCGATGACTTAGAGACTTCAATGTTTATAAGTTCTCCATTGGGATGTGTGGAGGTGACTAGTGTATGTAGGTCGTGTGTGATCACGATTGGAAGTGAGAAATTAAAGGCAGATTTGATAATCCTTCCCATGAATCCGTTTGATGTGGTGCTTAGAATGGATTGGTTGTCAAGATATGGGGCGATTATTGATTGCCACCGTATGAGAGTTACCTTGACTACCGGTTTTGGCATGACAGTAACGTATCAGGGAGGTGTTAACCCGGTTACTAAAGAACGACTACTGAGGCATAGTGTCGGAGGACGGTGAAATTTAGCTTGTTTCTCATTCCTTTCAGTATTAGAGGGTGAATCCGGTATCGCCGGGGAGAATGTTGAGGTCCCCGTGGTCGATGAATATGCGGATGTATTCCCTGATGAGTTGCCTGGTTTACCACCTGATCGGGAGATCGAGTTTTGCATCGACTAACTTCCAGAGACGGCTCCGATTTCTATTGCTCCGTATCGAATGGCGCCTGCGGAGATGAAAGAGCTAACGAAACAGCTCGGAGAGTTGGCAAAAAAGGGATTCATTAGAAACAACACTTCCCCGTGGGGTGCACCTGTCTTGTTTGCGAAAAAGCACGACGGATCCCTTCGGTTGTGCATAAACTACCGACAATTGAATAGGGTTACCGTGAAGAACAAGTACCCATTGCCGAGGATCGATGAGTTGTTCGATCAACTAGGAGGATCACGATATTACTCAAAAATTGACTTGAGATCCGGGTATCATTATTTGAAGATTAGGGAAGATGATATTCCAAAAACAGCTTTCAGAACTCGCTATGGGCATTATGAGTTCTTAGTAATGCCTTTTGGATTGACGAATGCTCCTGCCGCTTTTATGGACTTGATGAATCGAGTCTTCTGCCCGTATTTAGACCAGTTTGTGGTAGTTTTCATTGATGACATCCTGGTTTACTCAAAGACTTGGGAAGAGCATGAGCAACATTTGAGGATCGTTCTCCAGACTTTTCGAGAACACCAGCTTTATGCAAAAAATGAGAAATTTGATTTCTGGTTAACAGAAGTCAAGTTCCTTGGACATGTTATATCTGGACAAGGAATTTCAGTGGATCCTTCAAAGATTGAAACGGTGCTACAATGGGAATGACCGAAGAACGTCGCCGAAATTCGAAGCTTCCTAGGACTTGCGGGGTATTATCGACGATTTGTAAAGGATTTTTTGAGTATTGTTGCTCCAATGACGCGGTTGACTAAAAAGGAAGTTAGGTTTGAATGTGATGCTGATTGTGAATATGCATTCCAAGAACTGAGGACTAGGCTAACCAGTGCGCCGATTCTGACGATTCCTAATAGCGATGAGCCGTACGAGGTGTATTCCGATGCATCAAGACGAGGACTTGGGTGTGTTCTGATGCAAAATGGACATGTTGTGGCTTATGCATTTCGTCAACTGAAGCCACATGAACAGAACTACCCCACGCATGATCTAGAGTTAGCAGCAGTGATTTTTGCTCTCAAGATATGGAGATGCTACCTCTATGGAGTAAAATTCCAGATCTTCTCTGATCATAAGAGTTTAAAATATCTGTTCACTCAAAAGGACTTAAATCTGAGACAAAGAAGGTGGATGGAATACATGGAGGATTATGACTTCACCTTACTGTATCATCCTAGAAAAGCCAACGTAGTAGCAGACGCTCTCAGCAGAAAGACTCCAGGAATCCTAGCATCTTTGGCATTGGAAGATTGGAAACGGAGTGAAATTGTAGGTGATTATGATCTTCAGTATTATGAGGATTCTAACCAAGCTATGGTGTACAACTTGGTTTCAACGCTAATTCTTATACAGCAAGTCAAGCAGAACCAATGGCAGGATTCGCATCTTCAAGGAATTTAGACTCGAGTTTAGAATGGAGAAAAACTGGATGAATGGAATATTCGGGAAGATGGAACGCTCTACTTTAGGAATCGCCTTGCCGTTCCTCAAGTGGATGACAAAGAAGACAATCCTTCACAAAGCCCACAAATCGAGGTTCGCTATTCACCCTGGGAGTACCAAGATGTATCAAGACCTCAAAAGGCAGTATTGGTGGAGAGGTATGAAGAAGGATGTTCGCCAATACGTGTCAGAATGTGCGACTTGTCTTCGAGTCAAGGCTGAACATCGGAGACCTGCTGGAGAACTGCAGCCTCTTCCTGTTCCTGGATGGAAGTGGGAACACATTAAGATGGATTTTTTGATGGGATTGCCGAGGACTGAACATCGGCATGATGCCATATGGGTCGTTGTGGATAGGTTAACGAAGTCCGCCCACTTCATTCCCTTTCATGCGACTTATTTCAGGAAAATTCTAGCAGAGTTGTATCTGGAGCACGTTGTCAGACTTCACGGAGTTCCGTTGTCTATCACATCAGATCGTGACACTCGTTTCAATGCTAGATATTGGAGAAGTTTTCAAGAAGCCATGGGAACCGAACTGAATTTCAGCACCGCATTTCATCCTCAGACTGACGGACAATCTGAGAGAGTTATTCAGATTTTGGAGGACATGCTTCGCGCTTGCATTCTAGATTTTGGTGGAAACTGGAAGAAGTATCTTCATTTAGCTGAGTTTGCCTACAACAACAGTTATCAGAGTAGCATTGGGATGGCCCCATTCGAAGCGTTGTATGGCAGACCTTGTAGATTGCCAGTTTGTTGGCTTGAGTCAGAAGATCGACTGACCTTTGGACCGGATGTTATCCAGGAGAATAATGAAAAGATAGCCGTGATCCGGAAACGACTGTTAACGGCTCAAAGTCGTCAGAAGAGTTATTCTGACAGGAGGCGTAGACCCTTAGAGTTCTTAGAGGGCGATTTTGTCTTGTTAAGAGTCTCTCCTCGCAAAGGGGTTACTCGCTTTGGTGTGAAGGGAAAACTTGTGCCAAGGTACATTGGACCATTTCAGATCACACAATAAGTCGGTGTCGTTGCTTACCGCCTTGATCTTCCTCTGGAATTGTCTCACGTGCACAATGTGTTCCATGTTTCAATGCTCTGAAAGTGTTAACCTGATCCAGAAGCCATTGTGCAATGGTATGACGTGCCGATCCAGTATGCCACGACTTACGAGGAAGCATCCATACAGATTCTTGACCGGAAGATGAAAAGCCTACGTCAACATGAGATACCATTAGTGAAGGTGTTGTGGCAACCTTATGGCGTTGAAGAAGCAACGTGGGAATTGAAAATGACGATGCAGGAACGATATCCGTATTTGTTCATATCGTGAGGTAAATTTCAATTTCAGGGACGAAATTTCTTAAGGGGGGTAGAATGTAACGCCCTCTAGAATTAAACATGTTTAATTATGCTAAACTGTGGATTATTAGTGTGCCTAATTTGATTTTCATAATTAATCAAGGGACTTTAAGTTATTTTCAGTATTTATAATTTCACCCCAAAGATTTTTGAAAAACACACTTAAATTTAATACATTTTCCCTTTTTTCCATTTTTCTTTTTCCTCTTCTTTTCTTTTTCTTTTTCTTTTTTTCTTTTCTTTTTTTTTCTTTTCCCCCTTTCCCTTCCCGTGCGCCAGCCCACTCTTTTTTTTCTTTTTTTTCTTTTCTTTCTTCTTCTTCTTCTCTGGTTCTTCCCGTGCACCAGTCTCTCTCTCTCTCTCTCTTTATTTTCTTCCACCGCCGGCCACCTCCTTCTCCGGGCTTCCTCCCGCCGGCGTTCTCTCTCTCTCCCTTGCTCTCTCTCTCCGGGTTTCTCTCTCCCTCTCTCTCTCGGCAGTTTGGCCGAGAATCTAAAAAAAAAATGAAAAACAGAAAAATTGAGGGA